TCTTCAGGATGTTGACCTGAACGACAAGGGGCTCAATGCTGAAGCCCTCGAGGGTAACGCACAGGAGCATAGCCTCACCTTCCTTCAGGCCATGAAGACGTATAAGCGCGCAGCGTTTTGGTCGATTAGTATGTGAAGACTATAAAGACAACATGGGAGACTAGCCGTTGCTAACCGCTTGACCTCTGCAGTGATCTCGTTGACCGTCATCATGGAAGGGTACGACGTGACGCTCCTCAGTTCCTTCTACGGCTACCCCAAGTTTCGAGAGAAGTACGGCGAATACCTCAACGAAGAGAGCGGATACCAGATTTCCTCCGCCTGGCAGCAACGATTCAATGCCCTCGCCGCCGTGATGAACATTCTCGGTGCCATTCTCAACGGCTGGGCTACCTCGCGATGGGGCCACCGCAAGGTGCTCATAGTCAGCTTGCTCGCCTTGACGGGCTTCATCTTCATTGTGTTCTTTGCCCCCAGCATCGAGATCATCCTCGTGGGTGAGATCTTCTCCAACATTCCCTGGGGTGTGTTCGCAACCACCGGCCCTGCCTACGCCGCCGAGGTCGTGCCAATGGCTATCCGCGGATACTTGACTGCCTACATCAACCTCTGCTGGGTCATCGGGCAGCTCATCTCCGCCGGTGTCCTCGCGGGGCTGGTCAACAACAAGTCGGAATGGTCCTACAGAATCCCCTTTGCCATCCAATGGGTCTGGCCAATCCCCCTCATGATCTTTGCCTATCTGGCGCCTGAGTCCCCTTGGTTCCTCGTCCGTCAGGGCAGATTGGACGAGGCCAAGCACAGCTTGAAGCGGCTCTCGGAGCCCAGCCACAACGTCAACTATGATGCCGCTGTCGCGCTGATGGTTCACACCAACAAGCTGGAGATGGAGGAGCGTTCCGGCGCCACGTACTGGGATGCTTTCCGGGGCACGAACCTTCGCCGAACAGAGATTGCGTGCATGGCTTTCCTCTCGCACATTACAAATGGCGGCGCGCTATGCTACAGTGGAAGCTTCTTCTTCCAACAGACCGGAATCGCCGATGACATAGCATACAACATCACTCTCGGCGGCAAGGGTCTCTCCTTTATCGGCACCGTGGTCTCCTGGTTCTACATCCACAAGTTTGGGCGCCGGAGAATCTGGCTCACGGGCTTCGGTACGCTGGTCATCCTTCTCTGGCTTGTTGGTTTCCTGGCCCTGCCTCACCAGACCTTGGGTCTCGCCTGGGGTCAGTCCATCCTTTGCGTTGTGTGGCTCGGTGTCTACTCCATGTCTGTCGGACCGATCGTCTACACCATGGTATCTGAAATTGGATCGACCCGTCTCCGAACCCAGACCGTCGTCCTTGGCCGAAGCGTGTACTACCTGGGTAACATCATCTGCGGTGGAGTCTTGCAGCCCAAGATGCTGGCTCCCGGTGACTGGAATTTGAAGGGAAAGACTGTAAGTTGAATAATTATGATGCTGCCGAAGAGCGCTAGACTGATGCTAATGATTCCCATTAGGCTTTCTTCTGGTCTGTGCTTGCTACTTTGACCTTTGTCTGGGGTTATTTCCGCTTGTTTGAGACCAAGGACCGAACATTCGGTGAACTGGATATTATGGTAAGTCGCCTAGCCTCCAAATCCTTACTCTCGAAGCTCGCTAACATCGTAAACAGTTCCAGAAGGGAGTGTCAGCCAGAAAATCGGCCAAGTATGTCATCAACAATGAGGAGATGTTCATGGGTGAGCACATCGTCAATGAGAAGAAGGAAGAGGTCGGCCAGAATTGATTGCTACACCAACCTAAAATTCGTCAGCATGATGATGAAGAGGGAGGCTTAACTCTGGTGTTAAGATGACTGATTTCATGTGACCTATTCTATTTCATCAACGAATGTCATTGATTAATTTGTTACTGAGTCATTAGGAGAGTAGTTGTTATGTCGCTAGCAACGTGTCAGTAGATCACAGTAGATGAACAGATCAAACCAATTGCCGAAAACAATTCCGTAGCGATCAACCCATTCCCTTGCCTTTAATATATGCTATCATTTCTCGCACCTTGGCGTAGAGTAATTAGCCATTTTATGGTTAAGAATCCACCTTTCCTAATGAACATTTCGTTGGATCTATGGAGAGCCCCTGAATATTGGCGAAATGGACCATTGAGCCGTAACTCCTTCTATATACAGGTCGAAATGCACTCACCTCCACGGGAGCTGATCTGGTTTTTATGAAATATCTAGACTCGAACATGTTACCGATTCCGGCCGAGTTTTCAAAAAGATCAATGCCGTTGACTCTTAAGCGAATCAAAGTCACTCGACCTTGGAAGATTGAGCTTGCCGAGACGGGATAGCCTGTTTCAAGAGTCCATCAAATCGGGGAGAAAAAGAAACACTTCAAATTCTTGGGAAATACACGAAGCCACCTTCTCCCCGCCTCTCAATTATTTTTAAATAGTATAGTGTTCGTGACAGCAGCAGTTTGTGATCGTACAACTTAATTTTTATTGTAAGGATTCACTAAATTCCATGATGAAACCATCACGGATCACGGCAACTATGAACGCCGATGGGCATAGTAAAGCTGCTTCGCTCTATGTACCTAAGGTAAGCTGAACATGAGCCATCCCTGGCAGTGGGTCAATAGCTGATTCCTCTAGCGATGTCCTCAACTCGGCGCCGGAACAGCATTCTAATCGTGATCTCATGAGTCTCTCAGCTATGTGGAAGAAACTTGCCATGGATTTCAATAAGAAGCGAAAATTATACTACAGGCTTATAGAAATGCTCTACTGAGAAAATAATCTCTCAGTGCTTCTATAATCTGGCATACTCGTGATGTGTAAGAACGTGCTGGCAGGAAGATGGCCGGTGTGTCATTCAATCGAAGAACCTTATTTGACAGAACAACGGCGAGGCTAAAAATAGTGTGTTCAACTTCGTCAAGTACCTCATTCATTGGAGAGTCCAGTGGCAGTAATTATTAATACTAATTTGAAGTAAGAAGGCTCAGTTCATCGATGACAAATAGGCCACTTGAACGTATGTGTTCTGACGTGATAAAATGATCTAGCACCAGTGTGCGGTTGGGCATCATGGTAAGCGAGGCGACCAATATGTCGCGTGGCTGCCGCGCGCTTGACGCACTCGTCATCATCTTGGTGTGGACGGCTTCGAAATAGTCTGCTGATCTTAATGACACATACGGCGCCCAGTTTATGCACTGTGGGCTGGGGAAGGCTGAGGATCGAGCGTGTGGCAGCCTGGACACTCCTCCGTCAAAGCCTGGCATGCCTTCACACGTGTCCACTAATGGTGATGACGTCTACGGACTAGGCAGAGGTGAAGACATTAATTCTCTCACTTGTGGTTAACTTGATGGATCTGAATTGCGGCACTAGTTTTGCAACATGGTAAGTGGACACGGTCTCATGGAGAGGTTGAAGTTAGAAGATAATGAGATAATTTATTGGAAACACTCTGGTGACCCTGTCCTCCAGTACGAATCAGTCCATAATATAACAAATCCTAACTAAAAAAAGAATCCTCCAAATGCGCAGGCAAGCAGGAAAATTGACATTAATGAGCAAACAAGCGTAATGCAAGATCATGAAACTATGAAAATACAAATATATGTTGGCCCTTCGGGCACAAATGTAAACAAATTGCTATGCGTGAGCATGATAGTCTATAACAAATTGAAAATAAATCAAGAAAGAAAAGTCATTGTTATCCCTTGTTCCATGCGCTGTTATACCACAACAAAAGGAAAATTAAATCAAATAATGAACGAAACCGAAGACCAGTAGCCGAAATTTAGGTATCAAGGTGTGAGAATGAGTATCAGGTTGAGTCGTTTAGTAGTAAATCTCAACTCGCTTGCGCGAAGGGCGACGTCGGTATAATTCGTACACCTCGACGCAGCGGCAACGGCGATGTTTGCAAGTTGAGCATCTTTCGCTGTCGTACTCTTCAACTTTGGGTTCTTCGATACGACAGTAGCGTTCTCTGTAGCTTTCATGGCGGTAAGAGCTGCTGTAGTCTCGGATTTTTGGGACCCAGGATGGCTTTGATTCAAAGCAAGCCCACAGTTTTCCAGAGTTTCGATCGTAAGTAGCTTCTTTGCAGTACTTGATGCGGTAGTGCGAGCTGAAACGCTCGCTATATTCGTGCTTGCACATCATGAAAGCTATTTGTCGATTGAAATGAAGTTGGTTGGTTTTGCAGTTGTTGGATAGTAAGTTAGGTTACTTTGTGTTTGATAGGTAGTAGCGATGAGTTGTTGGTGATTGTTGTAGGCAGTTGGGGGGGAAATGGGGAGAGTTGGGCTTTATTTGTACTTGATGGAAAAGCCATTTTCCACAAATGCAGTATTTAGACAACTAGGCAGAGAGGTCATGTGTATGAAACAGACACGGCGACCAAAAAATGGAAAATCTCAACGAGGCAAAGCAATCAGCTGAAGCCCAAATGGCCAGCCGCATGGTGGCAATTAGCGGAGGGGTCAGCAAAAAGAGACAGCCTTGTGCAAGACCGGTGAAGAGGACAGGCTTGGCCCAGCCTTATGGTCATTGTCGTCGCTGTGGGATGGTGGGAGTCACTGTGGTCACGCTTGGGAAAAACCAATCAACACTGCCACTCTCGCAAGGCTTTGGGGTCCAGAATCAGGTCTAGGACACCCATTCGCAGGACCAACAGGCAGTAATGCAACCACTTGGCCTTGAATTGGGCCTACATGATGACCTCATGGAGGAGCAGCCACGGCGCTGAGCAGGTTCATGCCCAAAGCCAAGCCTGCGATATTATGAGGGTGGGAATGGGAGAAGGCAGCGAGGGTGCGGCAAAGCAAGGCTGGACCGGAAACATGGGGAGAGAGAGAGAAGGCTATGGAAACAAACTCGATGCCGGCGGAGCTGAAAACGTCGCAAAGTGTAATAAAGTGATGACTTTGCCGTGACCCCTCGGACTGCCCCTCATCCACTTTCAACCGGATGAGGTGCATATCAGATGGCCAAGCCTCCATCGTCCCGTGGCACCCTGGTAAATACACTTTTGTGGGATAGCGCAGGCATCAATCTGCGCAAGTAAGTATGCTTTGCATATGACAAGAACTGCTCTGCGCCTACAGCGATGCACCGTCTCATTTTCCCGTTCCTGGTGGACCTGACTATTGACTCCCCTGCAGCCTGATCAATCTAGTCCTCCCACACGGATCCTCACCCTCCTCCCACATCACCGGCCCAGTCATCCATCCCTGCTTCCAGCCCTCCACGTCAGCCGTGACTACGTCCTCGCTGAGCATAGCCTCAGATCGATGGCAGACTTGCTTCGGCCATCCCGCGGCACGATCCGACATGGGAGTTTCTTCGGATGGCTCGTGAGCCCATTCGTCAACTCGACTTGAGGCTCAAGCTCTCTCCCGGCACCGTCCCTGGCTTGTTCAATCCGCATCGTGCTGAGCATGCATGCGATGACAATCCAGACAGTGGCCTCGGCCACATGCTTCCCCACGCAGACTCTGCGCCCAAAGCCAAACTGCCCAGCAGGCAACGGCTCGCCCCTCCCACCCTCGGCTGTTGGGAGGAATCTGTCCGGGTCAAACTCGTCCACATTGCTGTAGACTCTGCTGTCATGCGGCATGGCTCTCGCGCTGGCATACACGAGTGAACCAGCTGGGATAAAGTAGCCTTCGTACACATCAGCCTCCAGCGACCGGTGAGGGACCCCGATCGCGACACTGGACACCACCTCAGTGTATCCTGGACGATGTAATCCAAGTATGGAAGGCTCTCCCGGTCGTCAAATGTCGGAAGCCTTTCTCTCCCAACCACTTGGTCTAGCATGTGCTGCGCCCTGTCCTGGATCTCAGGGTGTAGTGCTATGGTAAATATGAAGACAATGAGCGTGCTCCAGGTCGTATCCTGGCCAGCCGCATACACGGCCGCAGCCGCTCCTTATGTCATCGACCGATAGCTCGGGAGCTCTCCTTCCTCCAGTTGACCCTGTCTCTGGTCAAGAAGGGTTTGGATTAGGGACTATGTCCTCTCATGTGACTCCAAGACTGCCTCGTAAGGCTCACCATGCAGATTTCGAATGGCAAAGCGCCACTCGCGCACAAACCTAAGCGATCTGTCGTGGAACAGCATCGGCAGATTCTTCAGTATCGGAAAGAAGTCCACAGGGGTACTACCCGGTGCCCGCTCATGGCCGAAAGCGTAGCTTGCATTCGTTGCAATCTGAATAAACCGATCGCTGTCCCTGTCGATCTTGGTTCCAAACCCAATACTCAAAACAACGGCTGTGACGAAGCGCCTCATCCCATTCTCCTACTCCGAGGGCTTCTCGAGGAGCTCGTTGAGGATTACAGCCGCCTCGCGCTCCTACAGCGGCTGGTACTGCACAATGTTCCTTCTCTGGAAGCCCTGCTACAGTATGCGGCGATGCGTACGAAATGTCGGGCCTCATCGTAGGAATGTCAGCGTTTTCACCCATCCCATCACTTCGAACAGCATGAACCGGGGCCGGTCGCAGTAATTGGCCCCCCTCTTGTCCAGGAGGTCTAAGGCTACCCGAACTGAGTTCAAAACCACCACGGTCTGGCCCAGGACATTGAAGGAAAGTTGTCCGAGCTATACTCCTTTGACCATCCTATGTAGGCATACTCTGAATTGTCTGTGGGAACGATATGGAGGTGTCCAAGGATTGGTCCCCCCGGAGGCCCAGCGGGTAAAGAGAGGAGGCTTTTCTTCCTTCTCGTGAGTTGGGACAAAAGGGCGAACACCACGATTACGAATAACACCAGAGCTTTGCTGAATGATTCGGCAGTCATTAGACGCAGGGCCATGATCCCAACGAAATCTTCAAGGTTCGAAGCGAGAAGCTGTTCGTAATAGTTGATAGCTGGGCGATCCGAGATCGTGTTGCGCCCATGCAAAGATACTTCGATACTTGAGGGAGAGGCTTGAGACTATCAACAGATGAGGTTCCTTTCCCACAGGTGGAGAACCATATCTTGTGCGGCAGAGGTGGAGACAGTACAGCTATCGTTGGGCTGTCCCAAGTTAGGCAATGTCTCACAACCAGCCCCTCCTTCTTACTGAGCCCTCTTCATCATTTCATCATTTGATTGCTTTTTATTCTCGCATATCAAATCGAAACTAGGATGACCTAGTGACAACTTAATCGAGTTGGCATTCAAGTACATCCGCTAGCCATTAATTTAGCAAGCCCTAGTTCTAACCTTATTACAATTGGTGATGAAGTATACTGGGCCAATTGTCCGGTGGTAGTAGGTTTAGGCAAAGAAAGGCACAGCTCGTATTAAAACGAGCCATTCAGCGTTGACTCTGTATTGAACTTGCAGTCAATGCCATAATATTTCACCGTCCTTATGCTCGATCAATAGGAACTTCCGCCATTCGAGATTCCTCCCGCCAGTTAGGGGGGTCATATTGTTTCATCCTCATCCCCCGAGGGGCATGTTAAGAGACGTTACATCAAAGGCATTTCTTTCAGCGGAGGCAAACACCAAGGATTTCATTTATCAAGCAGGTTTTGGAAACTGCTTCTCTTCCGAGGCCAGATCAACTAAATGTTCTACAGAAAGGCATAAATACGCCTCAAAGGGTTAAATACGATCTATACTCGGAGCAACTGAACGTCCAGGCGAGACATCCGACATGTCTGGATGTATCGAATACTGCCTTCCACGAGCCATGGGCATGTTTCAACATTAGAGATGAATACACACGTACGTACATAAAGCGGTCATGTTCTCGGTGGAATTACTAGCCACTCAAGAGTCGTGGGATCTTTTTCCACTACCCTCCCGACATACAAGTGACGGCATGGACTTAGTCGCGGGATTAGAACTGTTAGTGGCCAAGGAGACCCATCACTCCGTGAAGGATTGGCAGTCCATATTTATTCGGCAGATCCATCCATGGCCAACAGTGCTTTCTGCAACAATATGGTGATCTTTTGGTTATTCCACATTCTACAGACCGGAAGGCTGAATATCCAGACTAAACCGGGGTTAATTATGGTCCATCCAGGCGAAATTGCAGTCATCCATGCTGGGATCATTTTCGCGTCTTGCTTCCTGGTGACCCATCTCGTTGGTATATCCAGTAGGTTTTCGGGGTCATTATGGCCTTCCCGAACTTGGCCCAGTGGCATTGCCTCAGGATTTCCAATCACCATGCGCGAGTTTCGATATGGGCAATTCAAACTGGAGAATTGTGTATAAGCCGGCGTCAGCTGCGTGTCTGCAATTAGAACTACACGCCTCCAATTTGACGTCGTGGCGTCGCAGGGCAACCTCGTGACATTCACATATGTCATCCAAAGTTTTGTCAACTTCACAAATGCAGAAAAGGACCAAGCCGATCCCACCGTTTATCGCGTGTTGACTGCAAAATCCAAGATACCAGGTGTGTCACTGACAGACTTGCTCATCTTCACGCCGAAGTGGATCACGATATCCGATACCTTTCAGCCACTGTACTATCACAGCAACATGAGCACAGAGATCATGGGCCTTATATATAGCGATTATGGCCGCAGTAGCCACAAGCTAGAGCCGGGGGGGCTCAGATACGAAGCTAGTTACATGCTCCATGGGGAGACATATAAGACGTGGAGATATGTCACGACCAGCGAGCTAGCACCTGAGAGGGTCTGCGAGGATATCGCCGCCTTCATATTTCACATTAGTGTACCAGTCTTCCTGACAAAATTGGTTTTTGGGGGCGAAGACGCAGAGACGCGGCATAGTCACAGCTCCCAAGATGATGAGCCTTTGGACAGCTTTCAACCTCACTTCCTTGACCACCTGGAAGACGTGAAATTGGAGCTCAAAGCAGCAGGTCTGCCTTCACTGACCTCCAACGGAGCGAAGAGGTAACAAATACACGATCGCCCCCAGAAACCTCCCCCTTCTTTTTCGCTCTATCCTGACCAAGTCGAGTGGGTCATAAAGACGAGATGCAGACTCAATCGCTTGAGAGCACTGCTTTCGTCAACTTCATTTCGCTATAGGCTAGACTATTCGATAAGAGGCTTCTTTATTTTGCTAGTGGCTGTGGCCATTGCGCTATCCTCCATTGCATTCCAGACGAAGAGTCAATCTTGGGTTTTGTGCTGGGTGGTACGTAGAGGATCTTTGAGTTTTGATGGCGAAACTTTCTGACAGGCGTCACCGCGTGGTTGCCTCACAGGTAGCTAGCTAATCACCGAACCAGCCGTAGGTAGCTCATAAAGTAACGACATACATCCCTCAAGCTGCGTGGAGGCAAGTAGCCTTTCCCTCTGTATGCGAGTTGATACTACCGTTGGGAAAATAGTGGCTGGCGGTCGGTAGTGCCTGCCGCCCGTGAGCAAAACATGCTCTTTGTAGGGAAATCAAGCTTTGACCCTCTTCCTCTCCCATCCACCCTTCTCCTCCCGAATGACTCTGGTCGCGGTGTTTGGACCGTTTCTACTCAGAGATCGGCTACGAGGGATTCATAATTCCATCTTTATAAGCATCACAATCTAGCCGCGGGTTCCTCAATAGTACTTGGCCTCCAATGGATCCGAATAATCCATATCATCAGGCGCCTCCAAGCCAACACAGGCAATATCATCATCCCACCCCAATTCCTCTGGACCCAGCACAGTCCACACCATCGCCAAGGACGCCATTAGGACACTCGCCGGGGACGCCGGCTCAGCCTGTCAAGCGCAGAAGCGCGGTCGCTTGTAAGCGGTGCAGGCGCCTTCGCTCCAAATGTGTTCACGAGACACACGACCCCCCTTGCGAGGCATGTCGAGAGGCCGGGCTATCGCATGAGTGCTCATTCCCTCTGCGCGGGGACAAGGATGTGGACCGAGCCTTTCGTAGGCGCATAGGTCCCTCTGCCGCTTCGTCCCCAAGAAAACCAGGTCCGATTCATGGGGCTGCTGGACTTCACAGAGCTGCTAGCGGAGCTGGGACAGTCAACTTCGCAAGGCCAATACGGGAGCAGCAAAGGACCCCAGTAGGGCCCTCGATTGAGGTACCCTTGGGTCTCCTAACACCCGGGATGGACCGTGATGATGTCTTGCCGCCACCTGTGGAAGTCCTGGAGTCGTGTCGCATCTTTGTCACATCTTACTTCCAGCTAGGCTTCATCCCAAAGACCATCTTCCTAGAAAGCCTTAGAAAAGACCCAAACTCGGCGAGTAAATTCCTTTTGGCATGTATCCTGTCCATATCTGCACGCTTCACACCTTCCTTAATCCAGAGATATGGAACTCCTGCAAACGCCGCGAATCACTTTATGGAAGTTGCCGACGCTATGGTTCCCACGGAGATGTACCAGCCATCTCTCGCCCGCATCCAAGCTTTTTTCCTTCTAGCTATATCCCAGTGGGGAAATGGGAGCCGCCATAAATCCATGATAGATATGGGGATCGCTGTGAGGATGTCTGCCATTCTAAAACTTCACTGCGAGGAGACATATTACGTGGGCCCGAATAGCACGTCGAATCAGGTGATCCGCTCTGAGAGTGCTCGGCGCGTCTTCTGGATGATACAGAGCCAGGAAAACCTCCATGCCGGATATAACACTCCAACTCCGGTACCACTCGAGACCATCACCACGCTGCTTCCCTGTAACGAGGTAGACTTTGCTTTTGGGACTATACCCGTTGAACGATCTGCCCTGCCAGGTACACCTCCTGCTCTCATAGATCCAAACCTTGTCTATTCTCCATCAAGATGCCTGTTCGCAAGCTTAGTGCAGGTTCACGGTCTCTGGGGGCGCGTGGCCAGAAGGGCACGTCGGTCGGATCAAATCATGTGCAGAGTCCCGCCATGGGACAACCAGAGCGAGTTCCAGAAATTAACCGCCGAATTGAACAATTGGGAGGCTACTCTACCCGCCAGGCATACGTTTTCTTTGGCGAACTTGAGGGGTTGGAAGGGAGAGTCTCTACAAATGGCATATCTATCTGTTACCATGGTCCTCCGTCTCTCCAACATCGTCGTTCGTCGTATTTACCTCGAGGATATGGTAGCTGAGCTCAGTCCAAATGATGGAAACGAACCTCTGGAGCCTCAGACGCCGACAATGGGCAATGCAAATGACAGCCGAAGACCATCTCTTAGCGGAAGTCCATTTGCCGAGGGGGCACAACCTTACATCGCCCCAACATACGGGGGTTCACCTCCAGGGTTCTGGAAAAGCCTCTCGGATACACTCTTCCAGGATGTATGGAGAATCCACGAACAGATAGACGCCTACTTCAATATGCGCTCCGCCAACGAGGGATTCCCTCAGATCCTCGTTTTCTGCGTGTACATGTGTGGCTGTCTCAGCTCCCACCTGATGCGATATCCTGCCCTCTGCCCAAGGATCGCAGCGAACGGCCTAGCAGAGAGGATGGCCGAAAAGTGTTTAGAAGTGCTTAATGAGCTTTATCTCTCCTGGCCAACGAGCTCGAAGTGGCAAAGGGGGCTGCAGCGCATCGCCACTCCAGTGCAGAGTAAGAGCCCTGGCACAGATGTCGACATCCCCCAGCAGCACCCATTCAACACGGCTCCTGAAACATCGAATAGTGAAGTGTATAGGACGCCTGTGCCGCTTATGTCACAAGCATTTGCGCCGGATCATTTCCAGCAGCAAGGGCCGGGAGCTAGATATCAGACGTCGGTCCAGGACCCGAGGCCTGATGCGATGCTGGGTGAACTGTTTAACGCGCTTCCCCCGGGGAATCAGCTGTCCAGGCTTGGCAAGGCATCGACTCATTTAAATGCAAACGAACTTTTAGAAATGGAGATAGAGGCTTTCATTTAGGATGGGTTTTGTGGTGGTCCTAGTGAGGGCTGGTTGAGTGGTCCGGACGTCCAGGGGGATTGAATACCTTTCCAGTCGATGTTGAAAAGTGTGCCAATCATGTAAGTTACGCAGCAGTTTTTCCTTTAAGAATAAGAGAGAGAAATACACGTATCGAAACCCCAAGAAATCGATAAATTGATTCTATCCCATCGTCACAACACGATCAACACATTCCCGCCAGCTGATGCCATGTTGCGTATTTCATGTCCTCTTACCGTATAGATCTAACATTACAGCGTCAAAAGGGTCAACGCTATTGTCAGCCTGACCCTGTCCTCATACTAAGGTTAAAAGTTCGCCTAATGGTCACACTGGGCGGGATTGACACACCCGCCGCCATGCAGGTGGGAGCAGCAGCGTCATGCACGCACGACTACCGCATCGTACATTGTAGCTCGGCGCGTGTGTGCGTTGCATCGGGTGTCCATGGAATACGTCACTACGGGGGGGGGGGCTGGGAGATGGGACAATGTAAGGGTAAATGCGCCTACAGATCTCGCCGGGCTGGTTGATGCAACCCTACATGGCCAAAGAGATGGATATATGTTTGCCCCTTGGGGCGGAAACTTGATGCACCCTGTTGACCCTGTTGATGGGGTGAATCATTCAGAAGCTGCCTAGATGATGATTCTTATACACGATGGGGGACATGTTTCATTCAGGTTCCTCACGGCGGCCGGATAGAACGACTCGAGGGTATGGATAGCGGGCGGGTGACGTAGGATTTTGTCAAATTCTCCAGATTTGTGGCTATTTCTTCCAGTCTTCTTTGCACCGCGGAGGCTCTGCAGTAGGACACAGGACGCCTTGCGCCACTTCACTGCGGATGCGGTGTTACACCCACGTGGCCGACTCCTGCGAGGCCTTGGGATACGGATGGCTTGTGGACTAGGTAGGCTGCCCTGCGCATCCTCGTGTTGATATCTACGAGGTGTAGACTTTAACACACTCAAACGTTATATCGCTTATTGTCAAGCCTGCGAGTGGTCTTATCAGAGTATCAAGGGCTAATAATAAATTCTACAGAGATAAACCAATGAACATTGTCTGTTCTAGCCATCGTAGAAAAGGACCTGCTCCTGACCACCTTCCCCTTTGTTTTCTCCAATTTGATGTCTCATTTCTTCCATCACCCAGTTGGCTTTTTACCTTCTGCTAGCATATAATTCAGACTTCCTGCAGTGATTAGGGAGAAGGAAGGCCCCGGTTTTAGTGTCGCCTCCTGAGTATACGAGCCGGTTCAAGGCCGCGGAATGGGTCTCCGGCGTCTGATTCAAGAATACGAAGGATGAGTAATGGAAATAATGACGGGAAGAATTCTTTTTGAGAACCTTATAGCTGGAATTGTGTCGCGAGAGTTGGTATTTTAAGAACATACCGTACATGCATCAATATTGAACAGCAACGTACACGTATCAATATTGAAGAGCAACAATTGATGCTGTGTAGTAGTAGTTGTTCGTCGAAGAGGCTACATATCTTACAGTCTTACAGATTCTGTAATGGCATTGTGTGACAGCAGTCCTTGGACCTGGCTGTGCTGGCTGCAGTGACAAGGCCAAATTGGGTATTATTCGAAGCAAGCAGATGCTGTGTCCTCGGGGGAGCCAGGCAAGGCGTTGGAACCACACCCTCTTCAATGATATCCCCATACGGACACATCTCATATCTACAGATGCCATCTCGTTCGCTTGTCTAGGTTATGTTATGGTAAGGCTGTTTGTCCAGGGTCGCAGCATGCAGGGAACACTCCTTGCCCTACCGCGGTGGAGACGTAAATTCACAAAGGACGAGGAAAAGGTGATATCCATGACTAGGGAACACAAAATAATGGGGAGAATGGTCAGTCATTCACAGTGATGACTGCTGATGCCTGGTTAAAACCCGCATGAGCCATACTCTGTGACGTGGCAGCGCCATGTGTGTCTACATACGCCTGTCAGTGAGAGTCAAGACAGAAATACCTTACCTTCCCCACTGACTTGGCGGTTTAATTCATCATGTACGCTAAATAAGTGGTAGCAGATGACTCGGAGCATCATGCTCATTGAAGATTTGATGGCTATCATCCATGTTCATTGAGATGACTGAGAGTGAGATTAAAGCCGGATCAATTGCGAAGAAGCTTACAGACATGGTGGAGGACATGGCGATTCTAAATCAGCAAAGAACGCAATGATTCAATCGCCACGATGTTTTCAGTAAATATAGAATCAATGTGTATTTTGGGAAGAGGACGACGGCCCGGATCCTTCAGCCCGCCCATGCTCAAAGTGCATGGCCAGCCCTATGTCCAGGCTAATCCTACCTGGTTCGTTGAGAAGCCGGGGTGCCTAACGAGCTGCTTGTGTCTCTCCGCTCGAGTGCCAATCTTTCAACACGGATGTATTGACTGGTCTGGTTGGTTGTGTCTCACATCATCCAAGGACAAAAGACCTTGTTGGTTGACAGACGGGGAAGCTTTGTCGCACAAACTCTCCGCAGGCTAGGTTATTGTCTGGGATGCACTGCAGGTTTGCATGATTGAAATAGAATGAAGGAAGCACAATGGAAGGAAAAGAACAAAATAAGAACAAAGAAGTGACCCATCTTTGTTGAAGATTGCCACTATGTATCTTGGTAGGCAGATACTATCGCCTGGTTCGTACACATGCTTGATTCACAACTCTTGGATTCTCATATTCAACTGATTTCGTAATCTGCAATTTGTTCAGAACTTATTGCGATTGATTGAAAGCGAAAAGATCAGCCCTTTGGAGCTTGCTGGGTTCCTGTATGCAGGCCTGTCGAGCAACCCATTTACCGTGTCTGGGCATATTTTACGAGCCACTCACCGTTGTTCTCTTCTCGCAGGCACTAGCCGGGTCCTTTGCTGACATGCGTGAGGGCCAGTTTTTGTATGGAGAAACGTGGTACGCAAGCTGAAGTGCCAAGACCTGGAATCGCGTCTTCAGCCCTCCACGACGGCCCGAGGCCTGTCATTTCAGCCTGGGAAAATAATCGCAAATAATGATCTTCTGCACTTGTCTCATCTCTAATAAAGGAAAGGCATGTATACACTATACTTCATACTGACCATTGCAAGATTTGCTATTCCGCATCGCCCAGGAATAAGATGACGAGAAAGCGGGGAGCCAAGAGGGCGATGTTTGATGGTATAGGTACTATGTAGAGAAAGCAAATGAATACGACGACACATCATACATGCAACTCGCACACACCACACACCAAACCACCCAAGATGAACCCGCGATTGGCCGCGCATGGGCCAGCCAGCGGCCGGCTGGTTCGCTTTCGTGTCTGGCACCGTATATCGCGCGCGGGTGGTCCAGCTGTCCAGGCTGGATTGCCCCCTAGATCTGACAGTCTACAAGAAGTGCTTTGAGGACAAGGAGATCTGGACTGCAAAGCCGGTGCATTGTTTCCAATATCCGAGCTGAGCACCAAGATCGACGATATAGGCTCTAAGATCCAGGCACTAAGGTTACTGTCAGCGCCCCAAGTTGCCGACTCTAGGTAGCACCCGACATGTGGGAATGCTTGTAGGTGGTGTGCCATTGCACATGGCCGGGCGCTGGAGTCTTCAACCAAACAACTCAGGCCACAGTGGATTGCATTCTGGGCATTTTCCTAATCGAGTTTGAACCCTCCATCTTCCCGGACAGACTTTGAATGCGAGTCGCGACTTGTACAGTAGTAGGTAGGTAGGTATCATTTTTCTGTCGGTAGGGTACGGAGTACTTTACCTCCGACAATCCCGGACTGGCTTCCCCAGGGTTTGATGGTGGACAAGTGACTGGTCTCCGATTTCTCCAATGCCCTGTGCTATTAATAAGATATGGTAGTATCTATGCCTCAGTACGTGTAATTTTTTAGGGTCCAGGGAGCGCGAACTGTGCCTGAAGGGTTGGTCCTTTGGTCCCTTGATCCATTGCCAAGTACTGCAGCAGCGATGAACAGCTGAGAGGTAATTCCGGACTGCTGCTCTGTCGACACTTTCATCCGAAATTGTGTGTCCCCTGCTCGGGCGGCCGTCTTTGCAGTTGGCCGTTTCAGTGGGTAGCTTATCATCTTACGAGGCGTCCCCCTTGGGTGCATGGCATCATGAGTGAGAAGTCCTTTCTCTAGCTGTCGGGGAGGGTAGAAAGAATCACTAGTAAAAAACAGCAGCGGTTGTTCACTGCCGAAAGTTTGCCAACTGCACCTCATCGACTGCTGGTTGCTTAAAATACCAGCTGGGTGCCCCGACTCCAGCCCAGCCTTATTAGCCTTGCAAGCGCATAAGCCGGTACCTCGCTGTACTTGATGTGATTACCCAGATTCTGGAGGGTGCCCAATTGCCTCTAGACCCCACCGCCACACACGACCACCCGCAGGACCAGACGTGCTAGCGGTACACCGCCCACCCGTGCCACCACCGCGATTAGGCGGATTGATTTGCCCCAAACGGCGTCCTGATCGCTGCTAGAAAGCAGGTAGGACTTGAGCTGAGCCTCCGTGTGGCTGGCGAGGACCGGGCAAAACCGACAGACCAAGTCGAGTCGAGGGCGTGGGAAGCAAATTCCAGGTGCGACCAGCAGACGACTCGAGCAGCCTATCGTGGAGTAATTAGGGGTTTTCGAAGAACCTGTGGAGCGGCATCTTGGACCTGCCTGTTTGCAAGTACCCAAGTACCTGCCAGGTATCTCAGCCAGGCAGGTAGGGTCTGGTACCGGTACAGACGGTACCGATTGAGCCAGCCACAGCCCATTGCACCTCATTCCCCCCACCTTTCTTTCGCACCTCACCAGCACTCGAGCTCTTCCAACCACCACCTGATTGACCACAGTCGGTCTGACAAGCCTCACCTGACGGCCTCTCAGCTCGACGGCTCTTCACTCGTTCCATCTGACTCACGATTCAAGTCTATCCGCCCTGGTTCTCTGCCGCTTGCCGTTCCCCTTCCCCAACGGCGACCGTTCCATCCAACGTAGAACACCTCACATCGGCTGCCGACGCCTTTCGACTGGCCTTTCGAATTGACTGAGCGAACCTGCCACTGCCGCACACCCCAAAGTCCTACGAATCTCGACTCCGAACCACCCTTCCCTGATCGCATGCGTTTGGGCACCAAGATCTTGCCCTCGACACGGCGGATGAGAGCCATTTTGGCATCCTTGTGAACCCGCTCGCCGCCTTAAATGGTTGGCGCCCGGCCGAGTTGCAAACTTTCGACTTTCGTCACCTTGAAACCCTAACACCAGGTCCCTCCCCCCGCCGCTGGGCCTCCAGCGCAATCCCCTCGAGCGACTGTCCCTTTGCGCAGCCCGCCAACCGTCGCCATGTCGTTCCGAGGCGACCGCCAGCATCAGTATGGCCATGTGCCGCCAGTGCAATATCCCGTTTCAGGTCAGGCGCAGCAGCCTCAGCAGAGTGATCTTGGCAGACGCTCAAGCTTCAATAGCGGGGATGACGGTGCCTACTACGGCGGTCACAACTATCCTCAGCGACCTCACGCTACCAGCTTCGCAAGCACCACCTCGGGTGAGGACGAGATGTTCCTGTCGAACCAAGCGGCCGTGGCTGCTCAGCGGGCGTCCGCATACCAGCACTCGAGCCCTGCCATGTCCGGCTACCAGCATCAGTATCAAGATGCCCCGCCAACGCCTCAACACTCTTATAACCCGCAGTCTTTCAACCAAACATCGACGACAATGTACGCGCCGCAAAGGCACTCTGTCTCATATCGCCAGGACGCCTCGCCACACTATTCGACCGCTCCGGCTCAAACCCCACCAACCGGCTTTGCCCCTCAGACCTACAATCCTGCCGCATATGCCAATACAGCTTCGCCGCAACGGCAACACGCATATCAAGGCTATGGCGCTGAACAGGGCTATCACCACAATGTGTCCGCCCACGGCTCTCCGGCTTTGAGCCATGGGGCATCTCCCGGTGCGACCTACACTGCCACTTTCCCACCACAGCCAAACCATACTGCCGCCTCGTTTCACTCCACTTACCAATCCAACACACCCAGTCCTGCTCAAGCCAGTGGCTTCGGTACTCAGCCGTCTCCTGCAACGTATGATCCATCTCAATATGCCAACGCTCCCTACGTTCCACAAATTTCAAACGGTGTAAACTATTCCTCGGCTCCGTATCCTACCAGCCCCCCGACCACGAGCGACTCGGCCTTCTCCAACGATCAACAGTCCTATTTCAGCGGATCAAGGTCGAACTCCCAAGCTGCATCGACTAATACTACCTATACGTACTCGCAGTCCAGCACGAGCCTCCAGAGGCACCCCACAAATGCCCCGTTGCCTAGTCGGCCTGTAGAGAATACCCGTAATGACTGGCAAATCTCGGAAGACAACTACGATCAAGACCAAGCACTCTTGATGCAGGATATCGAGGCCGAGCTTGGTGCGATTGACTCCAGGCAACGAGCGAGAACCAACAGCCAGCAGCCTGACGGTTCCTACAGCAGCGCACCACCAGCAGTGGCTCCGCCGCCTGGGCCCCCTCCTGGAATGGGCTCGTTCCTCCTGGACGACGATAACGATAGTTCCTCCGGGGCTCAATCCTTGAGGCAAACCGAAATTGCCCGTGCCTCATCGCGATCTTCTTCAAGTCCTATGCCCCCAGCTCTCCCCGAGGAGACATCACATGGCTCAGATGGTGCGCTAGGTGCGGTGGTTGACTTGAGTTTCTTCGGTGGCAGCTTTGAGCCCGGCGGCTTCTCGTATGGAGACGATGTTGGCTCTCCGCCAATTGAGGCGTCTCAGGAAACAGCTCGGCCATTACCCTCGCCCGGTTCGTACAACAATGGTACATCGACCACAGCCATTGAACGCTCATCCAGTTACAAGTCTATGACACCATTAGACGGCGGCGATACTGGAGGCTTACAGCCCCCCAAAGCCCAACGCTTAAGCTTTGATGAGGGGGACGAGCCAGTATCAATCCACTCCCAGCACAGTGGTGGCACCGAATCTCCTCCAAAGGACGACTACCAGGATCTGTTCTATCACCCTGGCCTTACCAACCGCCCGCTTCCGGCTGTTCCTCCCACGCCCGTGTCAAATAGCAGCTCCATGGTGTCTGTCAACACCAATCCTAGGACTCAGCCAACGCAGCCGCAGTTCGCCCAGCAGCAGTTCGCCCAGCAGCAACAGTTCCCTCAGCAGCCGCAGTACGCGCAACATGGACATTCCAACAGTGTAGGGCATGCCGGCTTTTATCAACCTTCAACTCCCGATCAGTACTATTCCGCCGGTGCAACATACAATGTGCCTCCTCCCGAACGCTCGATATCCTTGTCGGGTCATACTACAAACCCACAGGTGGTTCCACCCACTCGATCTCGAACCGATGCTACAGAGGAAAGGCGAAAGCTCCGTCAACAGCAAGGCCTTTCTGTTCACCAGAGTGGGCCTCTTCCGGAATACGAATCTACTGATGCAGGCGCTTTTGATACGATCACCTTACCCAGCGGACGTAAGAGGCGTTTTGTTCCTGGAAAACTAAGCCCCGGGGATTTCCGCAGGTGCTATGAGCCCTGGGCCCTCAGCGGCATTGAAGCTTGGATCCGGGAACTGGCTGACGGAGAGGTGGACCTGAAGATCAAGATCATCGAGGAGGGGTTGGTAGCACTTTTCACTAACAAAGTAGTGACGATGCATATTGCTGATGCCGAGGCACTGAGTGGCCGTGTCGTTGCCGATATGCTCAAATCCGAAGTCCTGGTCCCTGAAGAAGAATGGGTCAAATTCGGCCCTGGCCACATCTCGGGTGTCCTTTGGCAGATGAGCGGAACAGGATGCTATGCCCCGAAGTTGCACGACTACGAGATCACCGGACGATGCTATTCCTACCACTGCAGTCGAACTCTCAAAAAGGTGGATCTTGATGATCTCGGTGCCGAGAGCACCAAGCCTACCGATGAATGGCACGTATTTTATGGTCTAAAGAAGGAGGACTGGGAGTCGAAGCCTAAGAAGGAGGTTGATCGTCAGAACATTCTTCACGAAATCGTCACTGGAGAAGAGAATTACATCAAACAGCTCGATCTTTTCCGAACCCTGTATCGGGACGACCTTCGTGCTCGAAAACCACCCATTCTGCATCCAGAACGCCAGGATAAGTTCCTGAGCGCGGTCTTCGGTAAGCTTGATACGGTTGTGCGCATCAATAAAGACCACCTTCTCTCCCAGCTCAAGTATCGCCAACAGGAGCAGGGTCCTTGGATTGTGGGTTTCAGTGACTTGTTCAGAGAGTGGATTCGAAAGGCCAAATCGGAATATATTGCATATGCTACTGCATACCCCCATGCCCAGTACATGGTGCGCAAGGAGGCTGATAGGAACGTTCTCTTCAAACGCTTCCTGGAAGAAAAGCAAAAGCACAAGTCTTCGCTGAAACAGGACTGGACACATTTCTTGATTACACCCTTGCAGCGTTTACAGCGCTACATCCTCTTGCTTGAGAGTACCGATGGCAAGATGCTTGTAGAGAGCGAAGAGAAGACCAATCTTCAGAAGGCCATTCAGGAGATCAAGACCGTCACTTTGGAGTGTGACGCCAAGGTAGAGGAGACGAATAAGCGAGTGGAGATGATTGAACTGGGCCGTATCCTTGTTCTGCGCCCTGGTCTGCACTCGATCTTGAACCTCGATCACATGGGACGACAGCTCCTGATGCAGGGTGAATTGACACGGTTAGGATCCAGGGCTCTAAGATGGGTTGATACTCAAGTTTTGCTCTTTGACCACTTCATGATCTTGGCCAAGGCTGTCTTCTCACGGGACGGCAAAGAGAAGAAATACGATGTATCGAAGGAGGTATGTAGTGTTTCTAGTCAACGATGCCGAACCATGCTAACGCACACAGCCTATCCATATGCGTCTGCTCTTCCTCGAGAGCATGAACGACGAGCCTGTCCAACGCCAAAAGGGTATATCTCCTCTAACGCGTGCTGCCGCCGCCCAGCCGGCACCAAACGGCACTGGACGCCCAGTACTTGAACATACGCCCACTGGCGGAACCCTAGCCTCAAACGGATCGGGTGATGGCGAAGGCAAGATCCTTTATCCTTTCAGAGTCAAGCATCTGGGTCACGAGATTTACACTCTATATGCGTCATCTGCCCGCGACCGGATGGAGTGGTGTAACAAGATTATTGAAGCGAAAACCAACTACGCCAAGGCTCTATTCTCACAAAACGCCGAACCATTCCATCTCCGAGTCCTTGCCGATGCCGCGTTCCACTATGAGAGTACATCAACATTCGCAAAAACGACGGCTGTGAATGTCAAGGGGACACCCCTTGACAAGGCAATTGAGGATCTAGAGGGTGTGCTTGGTTCTGCTCAAGGCATCGCACCTGTCTGCCGCGCACAAGTCAACTGCGCCACTGGCTTTTCAGCCTTCGGGAAGTCGGTAATCGCAATCGGAACCGACTATGGTGTCTATATCTCGACACCATCAAACCCTCGTGGATGGACTAGGGTAAGTGCTGCGTCCTGATGACGATTTATGCTCTCGTCTTGCTAACTTGATCTTTACAGACTATCCAGGTCTCCAGAGTCAGCCAAATAGCGGTTCTCGAAGAATTCTCTGTGTGCCTGGTCATTGCAGACAGGTCTCTGATCTCATACCCACTGGATGTGGTGGCGCCGGTGTCCGATTTCGCTGCTCCGGTGAACGACAACAGCCGCCGTGCTCCTCAACGTTTGGCCAAGGATGTCACATACTTTGCGACAGCTCGAATGAAGGATCGCATGCTTGTCTTTTACAAGCGCAAGGAAGGTCTTCACACGACCTTCAAAGTAGTGGAGCCCATATTCCACAAGGCCAACGAGAAGCGACGTCTATTTGGCCGGTCCAAGACCACCAGCGGCAGCACGGAAAGCTTCCGTGATTTCGACGAGTTCTTCTTCCCGACTGAGTGTTACTCTTTGAGTCTATTCCAGACCTATGTTGCTGTTTCAACTTCGAAGGGAATTGAGATGCTCACGCTGGATAAAAAGCAGCCGATGTCCATCCCCGATCTGAAGGCCCCGGCGATCGTAAACATTGCTAGCCGCATCCAGGGTCAGAAGCCCATGGGTATGTTTAGGCTCAATGAGAACGAGTTCATTCTCACCTACGAGGACTGCGCTG